CCTTGCTGGGCAACTCCCACAGGCCAGGGGGTGGGGGGAAGCCAGCCCCCCCCATTGGCTCTGTCTGGGTGGAGGCCTCAGACAATCCCTGGGAAGGCTGCGCGTCCTGGGCAGGGGCCCTGGCAGTACTATGTGTCGAAACCATCTTAGGAGTTGTTGCTTGTTTCTGGCTTAGTGCAGTGCCTTTGCACTGCGCTAGCAGGAGTCTCCCTCCTGGCCCTTCCTGCTCACCCGCCGGCGTGAATGCCGATGCAAACGCCGGCGCGCTCTGTAAGAGCACGCCTGTTTGTGCACTCTGTTCGCATGGCTTGGGAGCATGGCTCCCTACTGGCTCAGTTAAGAGGGATCCGGGGGGCTTCCCCTCTGGATCCGGCTCAGCTGCATCTGGTCCTTCTGCCCACTTACCTTAGGGGGTTCAGCTGCTGCTGCCTCTGTTGCTGGCTCCGCTGCTGTTGCGTCCACCTCTGCTTCGGGTCAGGTAAGGGGGCACACGTGCGTGCAGGACACAAGTGTGCCTGGATCCCTCCTCTCCTCCCTGCTCCTGGCTCCCGAGTGCTGGGAGCTATGTCAAAACTGCGGCTTTTAAAGGCCGCGGTTTGAAATTCCTGCCCTTGCCCCAACAGCCAATCAGGTGCACCGGTCTTCCCAGAAGTGCCTCCCGGCAGTCCCACCCTCTACGCTCCCCCCCTGGGGGGAATCTGCTTTCTCCTGAGCCTGCTCCCCAAGGGTTAACCCCAGGGGTGCTCCCTGGCTTGGGGGGACAGTCCCCCCAGCCCTCCCCCTGTTTGCGCACTCTGTTCGTGCGGCTCGGGAGTGCGGCTCCCTACCAGCTCAGTTAAGAGGGATCCGGGGGGCTTCCCCTCTGGATCCTGCTCAGCTGCGTCCAGTCCCTCTGCCCACTTACCTTAGGGGGATCAGCTGTTGCTGCCCCCGCTGCTGGCTCCGCTGCTGCTGCGTCTGCCTCTGCCTCGGGTCAGGTAAGGGGGCACACGTGTGTGCGGGACACACGTGCCTGGATCCCTCCTCTCCTCCCTGCTCCTGGCTTCTGAGTGACGTTCGACACCAATGAAGTTGCAGGAAGTGACAATGAAATGGGTCTGGAAATGTGGTTTAAAATCCAAAATAAAAATAATATAAAAGCAAGAATGAAATAATACCAAACACTTGACTAAAATAAACACTTCAGCTTCTACTCACTTCTCAATGAATGAAGGAAGCATAATGCAAGTCGACAGATCAAATGTGGAAAAGATATCAGCCAGAGTGGAAACTAATCAAAGCAACAAAATATGGGCATTTTTGAGAATAATCTTTAAGAAGATTTACTTTTATTGAATTAATAACAAGTTATGACTAAAGGTTACATTAAACCCTGGTTTTAAATGTTGACCATAATTTAAATAGCAACATCAGAAGAGCTTGTCAGCATCATCCAGTCTTAAAATAAATTGCCCTTTTCTATACAGAGATTGATGGCAACATGGAACTTGACCTCCACGGAAGCCCATCCAAAGATAAAAAATATTTTTTCCATCAAAACTGAAGTAAAGTAGACAAGCTGTTTCCAAACTGACTTTTTAGAAAATATCAATCACAGCAGTTATATTTCTATTACTTCCAGGAAGATCTTTCTTTATTAATGAAGAAGGAGAAACAATTAAAACTGTTTGAGCCATTTATCCAGCAGGGGAAGGAGAATGCGTCCCTGTTGCGCCATTTTGACAAGTCCCTTGTTGGATCACTAAAACCCCCTTCCTGAAACTCCGAGTTGCTCATTTATTGAGAGAATCCAGTTCTTGGCAGGACCAGCCCTGATAACTGCCAACAAATTAATCAAATCTTATTAGATACGGTGGGAGACTAATCTATTTACAAACAACCGCAGCCTACCTGCATAAAAAGCACGAAGTCAACACATGAACAAAGTACCACATTTACTGTCAGATATACAAAGTAGAAAAAATATAAAATGAGTGTTCTGCGCTAGGCATTTTGAATACCTTCTCCCCCCACAAAAAAGAAAAGACAAGTCTCTAGGTAGGAACATAAGGTAGTTTAGAAATGTAATTCTGAATATCTGTACTTCTGTATGGTTGGAGTTCTTCAACCTTAATTCTAACCCACTCCTTAACCTACATCTTGAATTTTGATTTCAACCAAAGGTATCAAAATTATCAAAATACTGAAATCTAGTCAGGCTTTTAGTTTCTGCTTTCTGTTGTGCACAGATTCCAGGAGTTACAATGAATTATGTTCAGCTTGTATGGGAAAAGGATAAAGTTAAATATCTTAGCCCTTTATAATCAGCTCTATTATTTGTCTAAAATCTCCTGGATTTATTCCCCAAAATAAGGCTGTACACTTAGCCCCCACAAGTTTTAATTCAAGATGTTCTTCTGTTTCTTGCCTGACTAAAAATGTCCTCGTCTTTGATTATAAATCCCTGTGCTGCAGTCTTCATCAGAAAATATACTGCTACCTCAGCAAGCATTGGGGAATTTGGGACCTTGCTCTGCTTATTTGAACGAGGATAAGATAAAGGTAAGGAGAAAACAAGCTCTGTTTTCCCTGAATGTCATCTATTTGCAGACTTGCAGAAGAACCCTCAACAGCTTAACTCCTGCACAGAAAAAAAAGACATGAGCAACTCCTCTTAAAGCCTATATTTGCTCACTTTGCTAGGAATGACCAAGCCTTTGTCTCCTATTTCATTTGTTGTTTTGGTTTTTGGGGATTTTTTACAATAGTGAATTCACAGTGAAGTTCAAAATGGTGAGATACTGCCTCAAACTGAAAGCAAACTTTGTGTCCTGTCATATATCATCATTTTATATTTTTCTGCACTGAATGGTGCTACTGCTGCTTTTCTGATGGATCCACCCCTACAATACCTCCATGCAAGGGAAAGCACTCCCTAGGCATCCAGACAGGAAACATCCTAACACTAACTCCTCTCTAGTACACATGCATATACAAACTGTCTACCAGCACCTACAGCAGAGTCAGATTTAAAAGGAAAAAAAGGAGGAGGCCAAGTCGTCCCTACTTTGCTGAAAACTTGGGATAAGACCAGTACTGCCCAGAGAGGCACAACCTCCTGTTGACACCGGCGGACATTTGGGGAGGGGGTGCTGGGGGGCCTTTTATTTTCAGTTTTGTGGAGAATCCACCGGAGAGGTCTGGGCTCATGTAATACACACAGATCTGCAGCACATCTTCCTGGAGGAGAGAGCAGGGCAATGAAGGGTAAAAAAAAAAAAAAAAAAGAAAAAGAAAAATAAGAAAAAGGGTCCCAAGGGAGCGCCCCTCCCAGCACCTTAAACACTTCTTTGCTTTTCTGCTTGTGGCGGAAACTTTGCAAATGTTGAGCCAAGATCACCTGTGGTCTTGAACCCATTGCTCCGCCTGAACCGCCAAGGAGGCGGCTGGACGTAGAGTGCCTCTGGGCCGGGCTCCTCCTGCCTCCCGCCCAGCCCGGCTCCAGCAACCACGCGCCCTGCAGCCCCGGCCCGGCCCCGAGGTGCGTCCAGCTTCGCGTGGGGCCTTACCCGGTGCTTCAGCCCACCACACACGTGGGCAGGGCGCGGGCCATGCTGCAGCTCCCCTGGCTGTGTGCTGGGGGCAAGGGGCGGAGCTGGAGGAGAAGTTGCAGGCGCTGTCCCCAGCTTGTCCAGTCAGGCGTGGCTGGGGCAGCCCCGCGCTGCGCAGCCCTCGGTGCAGTGGCGGCGGGATGCGGCTCACGTGATAAGCCCAGTGCCATGGAGGAAAGCAGCTCCCCCCTCCTTGCTGCTGGCTGGGTCCCATGTGCTGGCCCTGCCCGCCTCGCCTTGCTGCTGCCCTGCTGCCGCTGTGGAGCACGGAGCAGGCGCCAGGACTCCTCATCTGTCTCAAGTGAGGGACCTCGGGCCAGAGAAAATGGCTTGGTGGGATACATGGCGACCTGTGGGCTGTATGTTGGACAAGGCAGGATTAAGCCCTTGTTGTCCTGATAATATTTTTCCACTAGACAGTTATCTTTTTGCTCCCATTTAACACCCCCCACACCCAAAAAACCCTTCCCCCACTCATTGAAGTTAGAAGTAAATCGGTATTTTGAAAAGTTCTGGATGGTAGATTGAATGCCAGAAATAAACCCATTTTTATATTTTAGGCTGAGAGCAACTTTAGTGAAGAGGAGGAAGAAAAACTTCAAGCTGCTTTTTCACTGGAGAAGCAAGATCTTCATCTGGTCCTTGAAACAATATCATTTATTCTGGAGCAGGTACCATTTTTATCTGTATAAATTAAGTATTTGAAATGTACTGTTTGTTGATAGAAATATAAATACAGGGAAAGTTAAAGTAGATGTCCTAAAAACTTACATCTTAAACATGCTATTTTTTATTGAAGGCTGTATTCTATCTCTTTTAGTAGCACTGAATATTAACTGACTCTAGTACTTGTGTAGTGATGCTCTACATCAGGGATGGGGAATGTCAGGCCCGCGGGCCGGATCTTGTTGGCCGGGTACTGTGTTTCCCAGCTGCGTTTGTCTGCATAGCTTGTACTGGTCTCCATGGAAATCTGAGCCTCAGCCACACTGGCAGCGCACGCAGCAGAGCAGTGCAGGGGGCTGCCCCAGAGCCAGGGCAGAGTTGGGATTTATAGCCTGCATGCTCCGGGCCGGGGCACGTGTGCAGGGGATCATGGCTCTACCCCGGCTCCACACAGGCTGTCACTGCTGCAAAGAGCCAGGGCAGAGCCACAATCCCCTGCCCGGAGTGTGCAGGCTATAGATCGCGGCTCTGCCCTGGCTCCAGAACAAGCTGCCCCCATTGCAAGATTCCAGCAGCTCCAAGGCAGTCTGTTGCACTGCTCTGCCGCACACGCTGTTGGTATAGCTGAGGCTCGGGTCTCCATGGAGACTGGCACAAGCCGTGTTGGCAGGGGCGACTGGGAAATGGAGTCCCTGGCCAACAAGCGGCCCGGAGGTTGCCCATCCCTGCCCTACATGATGTGAATACTGGTGGTCTTTTTGTACCCTGCACTTATCAACAAATCTAAAGATCATATTCTGATTCTTTTGCTTACAGTTTATTGGATTGCCTTGATTTTTTTTTAAGTACATAGTTTTGCAAGATTTGCAGTTACTCTGCAATACCTCTATTACAATACTTACCCTTTTCTTAAGGGGGACTACTCCTGTGAATGAGTGTCATGAAAGTTGATGGCACTATTTATATAGTAAGAACTTGAAGGCTCAGCTCATACACTTCACTTAATTTTTCTTGCAAAGTTATTCTAATTTAGTTCTGATTTTTTAATTTTTCTCTAAAGTGTTTAATATTTAGTTTTTGGTGTAGAAAATATGCATATATTTTGTCAAACAAATTCTTTAGAAATGCTTCTGTGCTGCACTAGGTTTTACTGAAATGAATACAAAATTTTAGGAAAAGAACTTGGGGTAGGGGGAAGAGTGTAGGATTTTGGCTTCTGTTGGCAAAGTGAAGTCATGAGAAGCATATACTAAACCAGAAAGAACAGAACACTTATTTTCATTTGTATAGGAATATAGGGTAGATACAATTTTTGCTTTGCTGAATAATAGCTGTGTAAATAGACTAACTTTAAAAATGTAATTGGATAATGGTTAATTTTCTTTTGTTGTAACAAAGGTGAGTTCTTCTTAATTTTCCAGTTAAATAAACCCTGAGAAAAGCAGTCTTCTTCAGAATTTTTTTTAAAGCAGGCGTGTAACTTTAAGTACATGCCAAAATGCTTTCTTGAATCAGATTTGTATATAGTAATGCAGTTTTACTTTATCATTTGAGTGATTGTGCATGTATATTTTTCTGTAGACATACGTCCAGTACTCTGGAGCTGGAGTCTTGGTAGCAGAAACACTATGAATGTCTCTTGCTCTCTACTGAGGAAATAAAAAGTGCATGACCACATAACTCCCTTTGATTTTTTTCTACTCCTACCTATGGCGTAGGAGATTTCTGTTTCCCTTCAGTAAACAGTTTTCTCTTAGAGATAAATATTTTCCTAGCTTTCCTGAGGGAATTCTTCCTGATTTCCTGGAGTTCCTGGGTTGTAATTATGCAGAAGTTAGCAGGTTTCAAGTGCATGCCTCCTGCAGAGCTGTTATGCTTGCTAACATCAAGTTGTTTGTTTTGTTTAACCAAGGGACACTTGAAGGATAAGTGTTCAATTTTCTAATCCTCCTTATCTTGTATTAGACAATGTAGAGAAATTTGCTTGATGGAAAGCATATTATAAAAAAAAGATTTGGGTTCCTTTCTTTGTACCCTGGTTATTCAGCTGCTGAAAGAGCTGAAAGATCCTATTCAAAGATTCCCCCTCTAATGCCATGTGGAAAAGAGGTTTCTCTTTCCTTCTTCAGCTCAGGCCACATGCATGGTGTGCAAGTCTAAATTGAAACTTCCCAAACTTCTTCATAAAGACTCACTTTACAAACAACCATTATAAATCTTCGATCATTGAACTGAGATTACAGTGAAGAAGCACTGCTTCTATGCACTGATTGAGGAGCTGCTGTCAACTCCTGAATTGATATAGTACGTCTTGTTGAGATTAGCATCATGCAGGTACTCCTCACTTAACCTTGTCCCGGTTAATGTTGTTTTGTTATTACATCACTGATCTATCAGAGAACTCACTCATTTAAAGTCACGCAATGTACGTTATAATCTTATTTGGCCGCCTCCTGCTAGTAGGTAACTACTTTGTGACATAATTGCATTTGCTTAACATCATTTCACTTAAAGTTGCATTTTTTCAGAATGTAACTATGACATTGAGCGAGGAGTAGCTATATTCTTCTTTCTCTTGGATACCCTTCACCTCTGGTGCTGACAGCTGCAGCTCAAATGAAGCTGACAGTTTCAGTACCTGTTATTTCTGGGCCTCTTTCTTCAACTGAAGAAGCCCTTTGAATTAATACATATTAAATATAATATATCACAAGTTAATATATTGGGAAAATAATATATATCTTTTTTTTGCGTGAGCATTTATTAGTGGATAGCAATCTGCTCTACTTCCTGGCACTATGCTTATCACTTCTCCAGCATATGACCACTAGTTTATTCAAATTGTATTAAGCACCCTCTGTGGTATTGATCTCAATACTGCTTTTGGTATGGAAGGCTGTTACTCAATGGAGAACCATTCTACCCTTCCAAGAAGATTATTATGCTGCTGCTTCCAGCTGAAATAAGGTGGTAAGCAATGTTGCCATACTAAAATCAGTAAGGGCAGTCATTCTGGTAGATTCCATAATTTTGGTCCAGACACGTCCATGCCTAAGAAATCTTCTCAATAGGTTTCACTGAAGTGGCCCTATAAACATTTACAGCTCTACCTTAGCCACGTTTGGCTCCATGAAATGCCTGTGGGGCACAAGTCCTATCTTTTCTCACTCCCAATTCCTCACTTCCAGTTCCTCACCCATGAACTATCCAGGTTAGATGGGAAGTTCAGCCTTCAGTATCATTGGAGTAGATAGTCCAGTTAGATATAGCAGAGGAAGAGATGTTGGAATAAGCATCAGCTTACATCTTGCCCTCCTCTCCGAATGATGCATTAGCCAGGAAGACCATGTCACCTATTTATGAGGACCTTACAGCTTTTCAGGTGGGCCTGGCTTCAAATTTAGGGAAGTAAATAGAAAAGACTCAGGCAGATATACACCCTAAAAAACATCAGCTCAAGATGAGGGGGGAGCAGTGACTAGTAACGTGGTTCTTGATCCAAATAAAATGTTGTGGAACCTGCCACCTGCTTCTTAAAAGGCTAGTGGGTATTAGGGTACCCACCTTTCAGGGTGTTTGAGCAGTTCTTTATGCACCTTGGTGCACAGTTTCTTGTCATAGTAGCTGTAAATGAATGCTTGGAATGATTACAAACTAAATCAGTGCCAAAGGAAAAAGTGTAAAAGAAACTTGGCCTGTTCAGGTGAAACAGATCTCTTCTCGGAGCTAGTTAACCTTGACGCAGCACAGGGTTAGTGTGGCTCTATACTGTTTCCAGTTCCACAGCGTGTATATGCAGAGCTAGTTCAGATATTTCTGCGTGGTGCTGTAAAGTCTTAATCTAAATCCCCTGGAGAGATACTGCTTTAATGAAGCTGAGAGCATCTTTATCAATATCTGGAAAGAGTCAATAACGAATCTTTTGAATTGGAACAGGTTTTCTGTGTGGGCTGTGGCCAGCCAGCTGTTCCCCATTCAAATGAGACTCTAACATAGTTTGCAGTATTTAGTACACTGAAGAACAGTGTGCTGTCTGGTAACTTAGAGTTCAGTTAGCTGCAATCATTCTTGGCTGTTCATCTTTAGATACAAGGAAAAGGAAGTCTTTTCACATGCTGCAAATGACAAGGTTTCTCAAAGGCCTTGTCATGGCCTTTGTACATACAGGTTCAAGACTGATTCAGTCCAGTTTTGAACTTTCTTTTTTGATTGTTGACACACTGTTCTGAACATATGACCTCCTGTTCTCTTTTGTACATGATGTAGAAAACAACATTTGTAGTAGCAGTAGTACTGCAGGTACTTGTGGCAGATCTGCATCATACCATATTTCTTAAGAACAGTCTCTTTGAGATGGCATCTAAAATTTGTGGTAGGATTTGTGGTAAGGTAAGAGCTGGCAGTTTCTGGGTTGGGGCTCTGGGCGGGCAGTGGGTCAGCTGTGAACACCACTGGCAGGTTCTGCATCCAAGCTTCTGAACCTGTGCACAGTGTCCATAGCTGCTGCTGGTCCACTGTGGTGCAAGCCCTGCTAGGTCCACTCAATGCCTGATACTGTTGGGTCCCCCACTGTCCACCCAGCACTACGTGGAGGCTGGAGCTGCCAGTTGCCCATGAGCCAGATCCAGTGAGTTGGCAACTGTCCACCCGCAGGCCAGATCAAACCTGTTGGTGGGCCAGTTTTTGCCCACCCCTGGAGTAATGCAAGGGAGTGATACAGTCTTCAATACAATCCTTTACCAAACATTACGCTATAGTTCCAGCTTTCTAGTCTGACGTGAATTTTGTCAAGGCAGTCCTTTATTCATTGACTTTTGATAGACTCAAGTCCCACCATCTGCGATTACAACTGCTTTGGAATCACGTACAATAGATTGTATACATGATTGCTCAGTGTTACTCTTTGAGATGTGTTGTGTACATGCACATTACATGCCTTCATGCACACCTTGAATCTTAGGAATAGTTATTTACAGTGTTCCATTTCAAAGGAACTTGATAGGGCAGTGGGACAGCCACACCCTTTTAAGTCTTCTGCTGAGAGCAGGAGAAAACACAGGGTCCTAGATGCACCACAGTAGTATTGCTGGCAGAAGTCTCCAAGTAGTGTGTGCTGGGTTCACATACGTAACCATGAAGTGTGTATGCACAGACCATCTCAAAGAACAGCAGTTATGGTGGAGAGAAATAATAGTTGTGTTTCTGTTTTTAACAGGCAGTGTATCATAATTTGAAACCAGCTACTCTGCAACAACAACTGGAGAGCATTCACCTTGATCAAGACAAAGCAGAAGCATTTGCTAGTGCATGGGCTGCTGCAGGTCAAGATACAATTGAGAAGTTCAGACAGAGGATTTTGGCTCCTCAGAAGGTAGGAATTGTTCTTACATAAAATGGAGCAATAAACATTTTGCTCGGAACTAAAAAGTTTGTCTTTTAATAGAAGGGAACAGGCCTATGTCCTTGTTTAAAACTAGTAATTAAAATTAACAATAAAACGCAAATATTCCAATGTTAATTTTTGCATACTGTTGACCAGGAAAACTGTTCAGAGGCCAGTAAGGAAAGGTATGTCACATTCTGGTGTTTCTAAAATTCAGTATCTGGTTAAATTATACAAACAATGCTGTATGTTTTAAGGAACGATTTAATGTGTTGTCTCTGTTGCCACATATAATTTACTCATGGTTTCATACATGCATGTTTGCAAGAGATGCTGGATCAGGTTTTTTGTTTCTAGTGGAGGTCTATTTTTATTATTAATTTAGGTAGAGTTTAAGTAATTAACTAGCAAATTGCCCATCAAGAATGGTGGGGGCGGGGGGGAGGTGGGGACAGAGGCCTGCATCCTGGGCTGGGACTGGGGCCAGGGCCTGCCTCCCCACTGCTGCTTTGGGCTGGGACTCGGATCAAATATTTGTGCCAAATACATATCAAGATAAATAACTTCCATAGTTTGAGTACATGAATGCTAGATTTGCTCATGGGGTCCTGGGCTTCTGCCGTTTTGAAAATGACATGTTCATAAATACCTAAATATGCAGGATCCAAACACTCAGAAACACTAAAATGCAGGAAAGAATCTGGAAGTGTTTTATTTTGCCTTTAACAACAAACTAAGTTACTGGTATATCAAATAAAATCTGTATATTTGTCTTGATCAAGGCAAATATGTGACTTCATTTGATAAACAAGTAACATTGTTTTGCATGTTTACTGGTCTAAAAACAGGGTACTGAACCACATGATTTGGCATTGTCCTCATACTTAGTATGTAACTACATGCTGGGAACTGCTTTGCTGCTGGCTACTGTCAGACATATGGGAAACTAACATACTTTTTGTTCCACCCCATGATTTGGCCCTATTGAACCTTGCTCTGTGCTTATACTGCTTAATAATAATTTGGCAATTAATGGCTTCTCTGGAATTGATCCATTGCTTATTGATTAGGGGATCAAAACTGGTTATGGTTTGTACATGGCCTTGTTTTTGAGTAGTAGCATAACTAGGGGTGGGCAGTTAGAGCAACAGAGATGTGTGCAAGAGAGACAGCCACTGACATCCAGGTGCAAAACTTCCTAGTTGTGCCTCTGAGTGACATACTGTTGCTTCCTCTTCTTTGCATTTACTGATGGAGTCCTGCAACAACTGTTTGATCTAGTAGATGAAGAGTCTCCTTTTGGAGATTTTTCATGGCTTGTTTTCATCTTGCGTAGTGTAGCTGCATTTTATCAATGTCTTGCCTCCCAGTAATGCCAGCCTTAGATTTTTGGCTCATAATTATTTTTCCAGTAGGAGAATACGATATAATGGAATTTTTCACATACCTTAATTGTCTACCAGTACAATACTTTTCTCAAACCTGTAAGAGAGCTGTGTGTAGGACTGCAGTGAACTAAATGTAGCTCTTGAGGTATAATTTGAATACTAGGATAGTATTATCAATTTATTTTTCCTAGAAATCTTCAAGGACTCAGTCCTGCAGACCCTTTTTCAAATAAAATATCCCTCTGAAGTTAATGGGATTTTCTCCTGACTAAGGACTTGCAATTGGTTAATATGCCTCAAACAGAACACATTTAAAAAGACAAATAGGACTTATGGCCCATCTCTATTATTAATGTCATACGAGTACACAGTGTAAGTGTAGGTTGTGTTTCATCCAATTGTTTCATTATTTATTTGTGTACTCTTTTAAGTGAATAATCCTATTTTTTTTCTGAATTTTGCTAACAAGAAACTGTGTAGTGTAGGTCTTGAAGTCAACAAATAATCTTTTTTGACTTTATTGAAGGTCATTTTTGATCACTTGCACATACTTGATTATGTTTGTATGTCTTGGGCAACAGTGGGAAATACATGCAGTGTTTCCTTATTTAGAACACATTGGTTTAGTCTTGGCAGCTCCCTCACTAATGTTTTTCTCAGCCTTCAAATATAGGAATAATGAATGTTCTTTGAGGAACAAATCTTTTACTTTGAGAGTGGAATACTTTCTCTATAAGTGAGATAACTGTCACTCCCATTATTGAAATTAATTGATAACAATATATTTATTTCTTACAAATGGATAAGGTATCTGAGGTAATATTTTTCCCAAACAGTTGAAACTATAGATGCATCTATAGGTATATTAGATGGCCAGATGCCACCCTTTGAATACTTGTTTGTATATGTACATTTTGATGCATGCAGCTTCCTATGCTGTCACTTTTGAATGGAAATGGTAGAATGTAGTAATTGAATTTTCAAAGGAACCTAAGGGAATAGGTGCCTAAATGACCTGGAAATTTAATGCAAGTCAAGCAGCTATGTTTCTTAGCCTCCTCTGGACACCACAGCCCGTGTGTATGAAAATGTTTGTGATGAATATAGCTGCAAACGAAATCAGGCCTATATAAATAAGCCTTTTTCTACAAAGTAACGAAGACTTTCTGAGAACGTATTTGAGAATATTTATCAAAATCTACTTCCTGTAGGAAGTTCCAGCATCATTAAGATGCACTTTTTATCTTCACTTTTCAGTATTTTAATGTGTCTTTCTATCTAGTTAAATGTTTGATGTGGCTCTACTTAAAAGAAGAACATTAGAGGTGATAGTATAGCTCCAGTAACATTCCATGTTGCCATAAGCATGAGCTATGAATGTTCAAACTGTCTAAAAATGTCTGCTTTAAAGATTCCCCATTTGGAGTACCATATATAAATGTTGTACACACTCATATTCTTTCCATTGTGGGGGAAGGTTTCAGTACATACTAATGAAACTGCTAGAACTTATGCTGCCCCTCAGCAGATCAATTGTTAAGGTCCCTTCTGTACATCTGATGAAGTGAGCATCAGCTCACGAAAGCTTGTGCTGGACATATATGTATAGATCTAGT